ACTACTTATGGATTTACTACGGTTACACGGGATATATGTATTTACAAACACATAGACATCAATGAACAATACAATAAGACATCAATGAACGAGAAATGCGTAAAGTTTGGACAATGGATAACTAACACGCGTGAGCGAGTAAGAGAGAGAGAAAAGGGGAGGGGGAGAGAGAGAGAACAGTGGCAGGATTCCTCCTAAGACATTCACCTCTCCGATTACAGCACGAAACATCATCTTAAAGCTTCTTAGAAGCTCTATAAAGAGATTATACTTGCACAAGTTATGTTATGGTCTCTCTCTCTGTGTCGAGGCATTCCTGTACGGCCCTGTCTGGCCGTGTGAGCTGAGTCCTTTGTGTGTGAGGAAGCGTCACGTGGGCTGCTTGGCACGCATGTTGAACGGAGGTTCACAGTCTTTGGGGTAACATTACCAAAGGGAAATAGTTCGGCTAAGTTCGTTTCACTTCGTGGAAGTGAACTGAGTCAACTACGGAAAACAAAACTTTGACTAACAAAAAAGAAATAAAGATCTCTACGGGGAAATCACGCGGAGTTAACGTTACATCTTTGCATGGCTGGTGAAGAAGCGCGTGCGTCGCTCGGTCCGGCGCGTCACGCGGTCACGTGCGCGTGTTTCTCCTTCAAAGCGAGCGCGCGCTCGTTTAAACGTCCCTTGTAGATGGACTTGCTGGAGAGATATGTCACGGGGTTTTCTTTTCAATCGTCGATTGGAATTAAATACAGAGACTTATCTAAACTGAAAAACACAAACTAAACTAGAAACAAATAAAAGAAAGGCGAAGAGCTCGCCCGGAGGCGAGACGTTACATTATGACATGAGGACAAGGGAGGAAGAGAGCGAGCGGAGGGGGGAAGCGTCATTTATCACTTTTGGAGAAATCCAGCCTCTTCCTGTCGGCTTGGCCAATTAGAGGGTTGGAATTCACAGGCGGGACTTTGGGTTTTATGGCTCTTTGTCTCAGAGAGAGACATTTGAAACCCTAATTTCGTCGGGTGTTTAAGAGCAGAATCTTCACAATTATTATAGTCCTATGTGTCACAAAGTTTTAGCAAGATGTGATATAAATGGCTAAATGGGAAACGAAGATTGGAGCTCAGAGAATCCAAACTTGCCTCACATGGAGTTGGTTACTCACAGTTTGCAAAGTTTGAAACCTTATCCCATTAGAGTTTCCCAACAACATAGATCAAACACATAAGAAAGGCAATTCATGAAATAGGGAACTTATGGCGCTTTTCCACTACACAGTACCAGCTCGCCTCGGCTCGGCTCGGCTCGACTCGACTCGCCTTTGTTTGGTTTTCCACTGTGTAAAAGTTGTACCTGTACCTGCTTTCGGGTACTTTTTTTCGTACCACCTCCGGCAAGGTTCTAAGCGAGCTGAGGCGAGCTAAGCCGATACTAAAATGTGACGTGAAAACAATGCCGACTGCTGATTGGTCACAGAGAATCTGCGTCATCATTGCACGCGCTAGATGGAGTATCCAGAATAACCCCGCCATTTTTAAATAGTTTGGCCAGAGATAGTTACTAAACTTACTACTAGGAGGTTACTAAACGAGGAGGTGCAGACATTCCTTTGTTTGGTTGCCGAAGAGAGGATCCAGCGAGAGCTTGATGGGGCAACGAGGAACGAAATGCGTCGCTATGACGACCGGGTACTATTTGTGGCGGTACTTTCTGCAATGGAAAACGGAGCGAAAAGCGAGCCGAGTCGAGGCGAGCCAAGGCGAGTCGAGTCGAGTCGAGCTTGTACTGGTAATGGAAAAGCGCCATTAGATACATTGTTCATGCAATTCTCAAGTGGATATATAATAATATATATATATATATATGAATACAGGATTCATTTCTCCTCCTTGGTTAGAATTCAGAGAGAGCCACAGTTCTGTGAACATTCAATGTGACATGGGCAAATGGACACACATAAAAACACATCGAATATATCTGGTTAAATGTCTTTTTAAAAAGAGAAGTTTCCTTCTCTTGAACATCAAATTCCAAGTCAGTCATAAAAGTGTCTCGTAACTGGAAACCACGCTCTGTCCTGAGCAGGCTTCACTTGTGGGGGATTTTTGTGTGTGTGTGTGTGTGTGGGTGTGTGTGTGTGTGTGTGTGTGTGTAAATTTACATTCCAGGCTTTTTGGGTCTTTAGCAGGATGTATTTAGTCCTTTCAGATTCACCCTCGCCCAGTCCTTACACTTGCCAGCAGGACGTTCGCACAAAAAGCAAACTGGATGAACGTTTCCTCCCATCGCGTTCACAACCTCAACGCCAGGGCCATCTGTTTTTTTCCGATCTCCACACTGAGGTGTCGAGATTGTGAAATAAACCAGTCATAGTGCACAAACCACATACTGCTTGTCTATAGTAGACTATAAAGAGCACATTTATGGGGAGATGCCAAAAGTAGAAGAGATGCTTGCGCGCTATCTCTCCCCTGAATCGGCATCTTCCCTAAAGGCCCCAGCATTACTAAGGTTGGGTACCGAACTCTGTACTTTTAATGGCACCAACCGAATTACGTCGGTACTACCGAGTACCGATTCACATTAAATCAATCGGTGCCACATTTCGGTACCTTAGAACGCATCTGGGCAAGAGAGTAAGTCTATTTAAATACGAATCCTGCATGTTCTGCGTGTCTCTGTGTGAATGAGTGGCGCAGACACGCAGTTTCATTTACCACACACACACAGAAGCACACGTGATGCTCGCTGTGTTTTTCAGCCTCTGCAATCACACTATATGAGAACATGAATGCATTTCCAGAGCCGCTCTGAGAGTCACTAAAGTTCATCAGCATTTTACAGTTTCATTTAAGAAAAACTATCGTCTTCACCACAACCCGTCAAAATAAAAGTTTGGTTTAACTTAATACTATATTTCTGTTGTACAGTAGAATCTAGATATCTCAATTTAATAATAAATTAATAATATATAAATATATAATATATAAATATAAAAATATATATTTTTTAAGGAATAATCACACTTTTTCTTCTATGTTGTAATCTGTATAAAGCTCAATTGTTTCGCATGTTGTTTGACAATAAAGTTTAATTTTATATTAAAGATAAATTAAATGAATGTTTTATGTCTTCATTTGATTTCTAGAAGATTCACAACAGAATTTGTGAAAAAAACTAAACATTTAACAAACATAACATGCCTAAATTACAGAAAAAAGGTAGCGTTGGGTACCGGCACCGAATTTCAGGTACCCAACCTAGGTATTATTAAATTGTGAACGGTACCCAACCCTAGGTATTACCCACCAAGCCAGTGAGAACAACATCAGCCTTGGTGGGTAAGGCGTATGCAGCGGCTGGTCAGGCTGCAACATGCTTGCATACAATGTCGCTGCTGCAAGCCTACCAGGCTGAATTGTTATTGGCGGGGGTATTGGCTCCGACGCAGTTAGTGGACTGCGTTGAGCCACAGATTTGTCACTCAGGGCCATCAAGGAGACGGCTAAAACCATTGGCCGTTCTATGGCAACCCTGGTGCCCACTGAAATACATCTGTGGCGTAATCTTTGTGCCATTAAGGAGAAGGATAGTCCTGACGCCCAAGGTGTCGGGCCTGTGAAGTCAGTCCCCTCCGAAGTGGATAATACCTCATTATACGGTGCCTGCTTCACTTCGGTGCCCTCAGGGGGCCATTCTGCCAACCCCGCCACCTTGTGTGCTTCGGGGCGCAGCAGTCTCTGGCGAGCACATACAATATCTCAGTGTTCACCCGGAAATGTAGTGGTCCTGGGATGCCCGCCCCCTCCGAGGAGGGTTCTAAAGCAGTCAGTTCGGTCATTCCCTGCCGGTTCACCACTTCAGGGTGCCGGACTGATTGCGCAACAAACACCAGAAGCCAGTCTCAAGAGGCTGTTTCAACTAGTAGAATTTTTGGCAGCATGGAAGCTATTGCCAGATGTTTCTCGTTGGGTCCTGCAAATGATAGAAAAGGGTTATCAATGCAGTTTGGGTCTCGCCCACCCAGGTTTATGGGGGTCCTATCCACCGTGGTGGGCCCGGGCAGGTTCTGGTAATGGAACAAGAAGTGAAAACGCTGCTGGGGAAAGGGGCCATAGAAATGTACCCCAGCCCCCCAAAACAGGAAAACCGTGTTTCTCTACTAGGAGTATGGCGGCCTCTAAGGCAATTATGTCAGGAGTTGCTCTCCAAGATGTTTGCGATGCGGCTGGCTGGTCCTCACTGTACACATTTGTGAGGTTCTATTCTTAGAACCTGGACTCTGAACCAGGGTCCCAGGTGCTCTCGTCCTAGTGCTGCTCTTCACAATTTCAAACAGGACAGTCACTCCTCGCTATGGTGGCATTGGTATAGACGTTCCCACACCGTCAATCGATGCAGCGCGAGTTCCCTTGAAAAGGAACGCCTCAGTTACGACTGTAACCTCGGTTCGCTGAAGAAGGAACGAGACGCTGCGTCACCTTGTCATACCTCCTATGCCTGTCAGAGACTTACTTCAGACTATCAAGAAGCTAGCACTGCTTGGTTGGGGCAGGCTTTATAGTTTCCTGGTTCGTGACGTCACCCACCTCTGACGTTCCGCCACACCATTGGACTAATTTCACATGTGCTTCAAGACGTAATAACGCAGAGCGTTCCCACAGCCGTCAATCGATGGAGTGCAAGTTCCCTTGAAAGGGAACTAGAATTTCCTCTGAAAGCAAATAATTAGCAAAAGCCTCTAAGTCCGTCTAAAGTTTTTCTTTAATATTAACATTTTTATCAGGCTCATATATATAGGTTACGTTTCTACCTAAGTACTGACATTTCTGAATGGGCTGAAGCTGGGATTTAGTGAGTTTGAAGTGAAAATATTTAATGAACGTATACTATGTGCGGAGAGCATTCACTTAATATTATTATCTAATTTTTGACAGAGGTGGCTTTTAGAGGCTTTTGCATCGGAGGTCTAAATATATATATATATATATATATATATATAGCAACAGCAACCACAATCTGCCACACAAGACAAGAAGATGAAACTATTCAGCTCAGGGAAAATGTCATTGACTGCAACAACATACAAAACAACATAAAACTTATATGCAAGGTGACCTGTAGCTCTCAGTCAAAGCTGCATAAACTAAAGAGTCTATGCCAATTTCAGTTTGTCTATTTTTTATTACTAATAGCCTATGTTGTCTCTAATTCCTTATTATTGCTGCAGGTGAAACAATCACAGTTTTTGTTGATATTGACAACTCTTCATCTCGTGACGGAAAATTAAAGTACAGCCTCATCCAGCAACAGATGTTCCTTGCTGGCAGAACAACTAAAAGAAAATTAAGATACATAGTTAACGAGACTAAAGATTGCATCCCATCTGGAGAAAAGCAAAAATTCATAGTAAACCTGAAGATTCCACGTGACCTGACTGTCACGACTAAAAACTGCAGAATTATAAATGTGCAGTACCAACTCAAGGTGCTATTTCGTCTTCCTTATTTGCCATTTTTAAAGGGATATTTCATCCAAAAAAATGAAAATTCTGTCATCATTTACTCACCCTCATGTCATTTTAAACTTTTATGGCTTTCTTTCTTTCTTTCTTTCTTTCTTTCTTTCTTTCTTTCTTTCTTTCTTTCTTTCTTTCTTTCTTTCTTTCTTTTTTCTTTCTTTTTTCTTTCTTTCTTTCTTTCAATGTGGAAGAGAAAAAGTATTTTGAAAAATTTCCCAGTGTTTATTTTGTCCATACAAGTCAGCATGTGGCCGTTCATGTTGTTTTGGATTGAATTAATCATTCAATCATTCTTTTGTGTTTGAAGAAAGACCATTTTGAAACAACACCAGGGTGAGTAAATGATGACAGAATTTTCCGTTTTGACAGAACTAATGTTCACAAATTTCTCAAATGTTTGTTACATCATGTAGTAAAAGTCGACATTGAGTGCAAAAGATGACTTCCTATAAAAGAGTAAAGCAAAAATAAATAATTTGATCTGTTTTCTCTCTCTTCCAGTTCACTTGATTTCTGTACACAATTGTCTTTCAGGTCTCTCTGGATGTGTCTTTTTCTTCAGATCCAGAAGTTATGTTCCCTGTGGTTATTCTTCCAGCTGACCAACAGTAGCCGCGTTTCCACTGTCGGGCCAAAAGCGGGCGTGCTAGTGCGTGCCAGGGCCAGTCGCGTTTTCACTGTCACTTCCGGGGCTTGATTGGGCCTCGTTGGGGATTCCTCGGGGCCAACGGCCAGGGTTTTCTGGCCCGCCGAATACCTCGGTCCAAAGCGGGCCAGCTCGGGCTAGAGGAGTGGTTACGAACAGAGGCGGGGTCTACCTGAGTCGGCAGCGCCGTATGATTCTGTCAGCATTAAAGACTTTTAAAATAATTTACCTCAAAACTCACTTTCATGTTTGAATGCCTTCTGTTTGTGACCCGATGTGGATTCTGATCACCGTATAAGGTAGAAATATTTATACCCGATGCAAAAGACTATGAACGCTAACCATTACCATAGTAAACATAGTAAATAAAATCATTAAGGCTATCACCATCATGTTTTTATTTTATCTGTCAGTAGCCTACAGTCTCTTTATACCGGAATACCATGATAAAATAAACGGAGCAATTCCAAGAGGGTCCTCACACCATCGGTGCTCGGGCCCTAATAAAGCAGCTTTTTTTCGGGAGCATCCTCTGTTTACTGAAATAGCCTAGGGAGAGAGTGCTAAAGCTCCTCAGGTCGTATTTTAGGTGGCATTTTTATAGAAATTATCATTCTTTCTAAATGTGATGTATATCCTGTAACTATACCAAATAAACAGAAACAACCTCGACTGAATAAGTAAAGTGTATCCTCTTTCTTTTGTGAAATAGACCTAACAGTAAACAACTTTATTTCTGTGTGACTAATGTGCAATTTTGATTAATTCATTATGATCAATGTATCACTTTTTATTGTAAAGCTGTGGTAAAACATCGATGATTGGGTTTTAAATATTCAAGTAAACAACACAAATGCCAGCAAACGGTCGCTTTTATCATGTTTGTTTTTGCGATCACGCTGTTTCCAGTGATTTCTTTCTGATTCGTTTTCTGATAAAACTTCCATTTGTTGGTGAAAAGATGGGTTAGTGTGACATTGTTCTAGAGAGGCAAGTTAAGGGCGTGTTTTAGTGAAGCGCTGCAGAGCTTCTGGCCCGACAGTGGAAACGCAGCAGATTGTGACCCCGGTGCTACAGGCCCGAGGATTTTAGCCCAGCATGGCCCGTTTAAAGCCCTGGCTCGCACTGACCCGACAGTGGAAACACGGCTAGTGTCCTCCCTGGCAAGGCCCACCTAGGGGATTCCAGCCATATCCGCCACCTCAGCCTAACCTTGTGCCCTATCCTGGTGGACCACCACCTTCATATGCAGAAGTTTACCCCAATCTGAATGACCCTTCAGTGCTGCCCTATCCAGGAGCTGCTGCAGGGCTTTACCCAAATCCAAATGCCATGCTGCCTGTTTTCTATCCGACTCCATCTGCACCAGTTTATGATCCAAATCAAAGCACTAAAGAATCCTCTCCTAATGTGCCTTATTAGTCTTGTTCACCAGAAAAACTTCTGACTGACACTTCTGATGTCAATTATAATTTGACAGAACTTGACATGGTTTTATCTGCATGATTTAAGCTCAGTTTCTATTATTGTGATTAATAAATAAGGACTTTTCATTTTACAGGGAATGTAGCTCTAGATGTAGATGTTAAAAAAACTTTATCCCTGACCACTCAAACTAAAACTTATTTAGCTAAATCTGATAGTACTATGATGTATTGATACTGTTTTTTTTTTTTTTTTTACGTTTTTTTCTTTCTAAATTTGCACTTTTGACCTCCGTTCATGATGAAATGATCTGTAAAACTTTTACATATTTGCGCAGTTTCTTTGCCTGTGTTCCATTGTTACTTTCCTTTGTTGTTAATTAGTCCCAGACATCTGTTTTGTTTTCTGTTGATTACTGTATCTGTATTTAAGCCATCAGTTTCCTCATTTCATTGTCTGGTATTGTTTGTGTTTGTTGTAGTTGTTACTCTCAACATACACACAAATCTCTAGGCATCAAATATCCGCCATCAAATATTTTAACCCCCTATTTAAGATTAGTCTCACATATAAAGTCTAATTATTAGGCTACAATAAAACTTGGTGCTTGGAACTTTCAAGCATCTTAGCATGAATATACCAAAGAAATTGGACTGTTCTTCATCAAAAAAGGCAGAAGCTAAACGAATAAACCCAAAATGTCTTACATTTTAGTTGTGATCATGCATCTATTTCACCAGGCATTGGTAAATTCAAATGAGATTTTGAACATAGCCTACTGTACATCCCCACCCCCATCCACACTTGTACACAAAAAGTAAAGTTCCTTTATGTCAACAGTCTGACAGATCAGCCCAACCCATGTTTACTTTTCTCTACTGACCATTTCAACAATTTCTTCTAGTTTATTACAGTTCATTTTTGAAAACTGTGTTATGTTGTTCAGCCATGTGCACACACCAGGTAAACCTTTTCAGAGTCTAAAGACATGTTTACTCTATTTTAACATGAACATTAACGTTAGTTGCTAAAGTGTTTAATGTTAACATTGTAGCAACTTTTCTCAAGGACCTGTAGCCGCTACTTTATATTAATTATAAGTCACTCTGAAACAAAAACATCTACTTAGAAAAATAAGTTAATTTAAACAATATAGTTAAGCTCAAACCAGGAAAATTATAATTAGGCTATATTGTTTATAACTTCCATTGGTTTCGAATTACAGTTCTCCGATAAACCACTAGAGGGCAGCAGAATCCATCGTAATTCGTTCACACACACAAGCGACTAAAGCAAGAAGAAAAACGCAAGAGTTTCTGCAGCCGCAGGGTGGAGCATTAGTTTTCACAACTTGAACCAACATGTCCTGTAGGTCTAAATCTGCTAGTGAAATTATGAAAATCAACCTCATCTATAATATGATCTCAGTATTATTTCTGCTTCTTCTCCTTATGCCATCTTTACAAAGGAAACCGAAGCTCACCATTGAACTGGGTTACACAGTTTAATACAAATGCTTTAAAACGGGAATAACAGTTGTATTGAATTAATATTTTAAATATGAAACTAAAAACATAGAAATATGAAATAAAAAAAATTGGGAGAAGGATATTCCTATGTTAGTTGGCCCAATATTTGGAAATAAATATCGAAAATGCAACTCGGTTCAATTGACATATTTTGTGGCTTAAATTGGTACCAATTGGCATCAATTCATCTTTATGAATTGTCCTCCAGGTAAATCTCCCTATCAATATCTGATACTTTTTTTCTGCACTGAGGCACGCGGTAAATTTATAATAAGCAATAACCTACTTTGAATACAAATATTGCATTATTTAAGTCATCATATGTTGGAAAATAACATTGTTTAAGGTGTTTTTCCTGTTGTGCATTCCCCTTGAGTAAACAGAGCCCACATTCACTTATAACATAAGTTACTAACCAAACTGTTCAAATATTAATGTGGAGCTCTACCTACACGTGTGAAAAATGTTTAGACTTCCACGTATTCTTTTAATGCACTGCTCAGCTGTTCGCTGTTATTTGTCTCCTCCTGAGTCCCCGGTCAAAGAACTGCACAAAAAGCGGAAGAAGGGGGACGGATAAGAGAGTTATGCGCATGCGCACTAACTTGTTTTTCACACGAGCAGCGCTTAAAGTGAGCCGGTGGCGAAATCTCGCTGTCTTTCATTGCAGACCATCAAGCCTTCACCGAGACGCGATAACAGCATCTTTTGCTGTTATTCAGCTCTCGCAGCTCAATGACACTATCCAGTGTCGAATCTCGCTTTTTTTCATAAGAGATTATTTTCATAGACTTTGGCCGTGTGATTTGTTTTTGTCTACAAAACTTTGTATATTTTGTTTTCTTGCCACCATGGTGCTAGGAAAGGTAAAGAGCTTCGTTGTAAGCTACGACTGTCTAAATGACAGCAATGTCCCTGTATTCTCAAGTGGGGACTCCGTCTCAGGTAGAGTTATTATTGAAGTCACAGGGGAGATTCGTGTAAAGTCACTTAAAATACATGCGAAAGGATTTGCAAAAGTTCGTTGGACAGAATCACGAAATGCTGGATCCAACACTGCCTACACTCAAAATTATACAGAAGAAGTGGAATATCTGAATCATAGAGACATCCTTATTGGCCACGAAAGAGGTAAGAATACAGATCAAATGCTCTCAGTGTAAGTAAGATTTGTTCCGAAAAGAGCAGTTGAATGTACTGGTGGGAATGGGATGGATGCTCAGTGGTCCAGGATGACATGACATACTTTGGATGCTGCACAGTACTTGTTGACCGATGGATCTGTAGACAGTATTGTATACATGCATATGCATTTCTTTTCTTTATCGATTGTTTTGATGTATTCATTTGATGGATTCGATTGGCTCGAAAAATACACCATGTACATGGAACATTACATGGCAGACTCATGATCAGTCGTTCAAAAAATTATTTGACAATACACATGAATGCTTAATTTTCACTATTCCGTTTAGATCGCATAAATGCGTGATATTAAGCACATTTATTTATTTTATTCTGGACTACACTTCAACATTCTTTCAGGTGTCAGTGACAGCTTGAATGAATGGTGGCCAGCCACACAGTTTGCTCATCTCATGCTACAGCCTTATGAAAAACGAAATTCGTCTTCGGTGCTCCACCGCTATACATTTCTTTTGGGAAAAAAACAACGTGAATAAATTTCATATAATATCACAGTGATGACATATCTTTCGGCATAATGTCTTAAGTTTCCACCCATTGTTAGAAGCGGTTCAATCCTGTTTTGATGCAGTGTCTTGCCGTTCTTGTCTCTGATTGGTGGAGGCGCCAACGTGTCTTCTGTGACATCATGCTTTTGCGGAAAGTGAGAAAAACAGCAACTTTGCACCAGTGGCTGTAGTATGCAACCTTGCATACAGTGGCTATTACATTTAAATGCATTCAGTGGTCCAGTAACGTTGTTCCATAAAACGTCAATGTTGACTGACAACCTCGCTGCATAATGTTCTTGCATACACTATTGGACTTTTCACACTTGAAATTGGCCAGGGTCATTCTAAATTTGAGTAATCATATTCCTGTCAACTGGTTTCACACTGTACATTTATAAACCCTCAATTGCATATTTATGAGGTAGAAAACTTTTATTGTACGAATACAGCTCGCGACCTGTTTTGATAACTGCAATCGGTGGAAGTGTGTCAGCTCTGGCTGTTTAAGCCACATAAAACGTTTGCTAAAAAGCAAAAACAACCGTCTCTTTTTAACCAGTTCTGTTCGACATTTTCAATTTTCTCTCCGCGCATTCCACAGTTTCTGCAACTGTACAGAGCTCATTAATATTTAATGAGGTAAGCACCGAGGCAGCTCATTGGTTGTCTGTTACCAAACAACTTGATGTAATGTTCTACCGCTGCATTGTTCCATTCCATTATACTGACTGAGCAGGACTTCAAAACACAGGGTTACAAAATTACAAGTGTGAAACGTTGCTTTACCCAGGGGGGGAATGTGACTTCAAGAATACACCCAAATTGTATAATAACCTTTTCCATATTCAGTCGCTATTCTTTGTTGTGAAGTTTTGGTTAGCCTGAGCTGGCTTCTGGTACAGAACGAGCCAGTCAATGTTTGAATGTTGAAACGTATTCGTTGTATACGAATCAAGTAGTGCATGTAATGACTGTTAGTTGCATGCGTATTGTAATTTGAAAGAAATTCTTTCCCCTGTAAAGTTCTAATCTAAATAATGTGTCTAATTGTCACTTTGCTTCTGTTTCTGTATGAGTATTGGTTACAATAAAGATCAATTTATTATGGAAACTGGTCGTTTTTCTGTCGTTTCTGATTGTTGGTATTTTTTTATTTTATGAATTAATTTATTTGACATATTTCTCTCACATGTTTTGCTGAATGGGAGAACGCTCGTGAGGTCCACGCCGCAGCACACGAGTAGATTCAATTGGGAGGGAGGAGTGTACGCGCGCGCGGACCGCCGCACACTGAATACGTAATGAGCGCTCCAGCACAGGGAAGCAGTTGGCTCCGGTTTAGTCCGGTCTTCTCTTGCTGGAGAGTGGAGACTGGAGTGTGCCTTTGATTGACAGCTCCGTGCTTGTTTACCATGGCTCCGCTAAGCTGAATGGAGTGCTGACTGCTGAGCTGGCAAAACGAAAGCCACTGGTGCTTTTTTGTGTTACACAAACATTATTTAACATCGGAATTTTGTTTCACATTTACCTTATGTTTCATGTGAACTGCAGTGGATCTTAAGAGTATATATCCCATTCAGAATACATACTGAAACTTAATACACCTGTGCCTCAAGTGCAATGATTATACATGTGATTTAAACGCTTATGATTCATGGGTAAAATATAATTGTGATGCATATGATTTGCTGGGGTTTATGAGAATCAAACTACTTGTTTTATCAAAGTGTGCTTATGTTTACATTTAAGCATTTAGCAGAAGTATCATGCTTATGTGTTTTAATAAATTAGATCATGTAACAAACAAGAAGATGATCAATGCTTTGGCAGGTTAGGTATATTTGGAATATTGTTCTCTTCTGTTTCAGATGATGATAACTCTGAGGAGGGACTCACCACTATTCATTCAGGAAGACATGAGTATACATTCAGCTTTGAGCTTCCACAAACGTGAGTTTTGGTCAGATGTGGCACCAAAGCTAATAATTGTTCATCTGCACTGTATGTTATAATTCTTATTATATTTATATTGTCATGCACATGCAGACCTTTGGCTACCTCGTTCGAAGGGAAGCATGGTAGTGTGCGCTACTGGGTAAAGGCTGAGCTGCACAGGCCTTGGCTTCTGCCCATGAAGACCAAGAAAGAGTTCACTGTCTTTGAACACATCGACATCAACACTCCTCTCCTGCTGGTGAGTGTTCGCATCACTCGCATCCCTCTATTAGTCCTGATTCATCAATGCAATGTTGAAGAATAACCATTCAAGATTCTTGTATTCTAAAGTTTTGGTGTTCTACTTTGCACAGTCTCCTCAGGCAGGAACTAAAGAAAAGACGCTATGCTGCTGGTTTTGCACCTCAGGTCCAATCTCCTTAAGTGCCAAAATTGAACGGAAGGGTTATACTCCAGGTAAATCTTCTGACAGTCAATATTTTCACTAGATATTTGGAACCCCACTGTATTTTTACATGATACTAGGGTTGCATCACATGATTATTTTCGATTAATCGGTCAATTAGTTCTTAAATTAATCCAAAAATAAAAATGTCAATTAAAAAGTAAAGGAATTTTTATCCCTTATTTATACTGCCCAATGTTGTCCCCCAAACAATGTGCAATCTGAAGGCAATAGAAACAAATAGGCCTATAGTGACTATACTATGTGTCTATGTAGGCTATGTGCAGTTAAACATAATTAAAATTAAAATTTAATTAGAAATTAAAAATGTCTCTTTACTGCCACTGCTCTCATTAAAAATATAATTACGTGTGTCTCATGTTGAATTTCAAAATTGCATTTAATGTGTAAAATCAAATATTTAGAATAATGTATATTTTAGTCTGAATTATTGTGCTCTTCTACTCTAATCCGTTGAACCACATTACGTGGCAAGGCACATTAAACTATAAGCTTTTGTTTGAAGCGCTTAATTTGACGCATTCTCATCTGTAGAAAAAAAATGTCAGTCCTGAACTGTTTTCCAGATGCGCTTTGTCCATAGAAATGCGTTATTCACTATTGTAAAGTGACATGATTGGCGGATGTTTTCGTGCATAGTGCGCAGGCTGGATTAATTGATCAAATTTGTTGTTGATTATTTTCATAAGCGATTTGATTGATTCATTGTTGCAGCCCTACACGATACCCCTTGATACTTTTTGGTACCATTACCAATACATCATTTCTTTACACAGGAGAGTCCATTCAAATCTTTGCAGAAATCGAAAACTGTTCCTCGCGCATGGTTGTGCCAAAGGCTGCCATTTACCAAACACAGACCTTCTTTGCCAAAGGGAAGATGAAGGAGATCAAGCAATTGGTGGCCAACATCCGAGGGGAGTCACTTTCTTCAGGCAAGACGGAGACATGGAATGGAAAAATGTTGAAAATCCCTCCTGTATCACCCTCCATCCTCGACTGCAGTATCATTAGAGTGGAGTACTCACTCATGGTAAGTGCTTTTTTATTTATTTATTATTATTTTTTAGATTACCGATCATCTCTACATGTGCCGGCATTTTCTATAGCTTAAAATGTTAAATAATGCAGTAATTTCAGAGCTTTGTCAATTTCAAGCAGCTAAAGGATCAGTTCCTTGAACACCCCTTATGCTTTCCACCCATGCAGCTCTATTAACGATAAAGAGATTATGCCAAGTTCTCCTAGCACATACTGATAAGAAGATCAGCCTAAAAATATCTGATGAAATTCAGGCCATTGAGTAGGCTAATAATGGCCTATTAACCCCACAAACCAATCTGTCATCGCTCGTATCTGAATATTAGAGTTTACCATTTCAATCATGAATACATAAATAATGCTGTTATATATTTTTTTTTCCTCCTACAATTTATAACTAAATAAATTGTAGGAGGAAAAAAATATATATAACAGCATTATTTATGTATTCATTGACTTTTGACTTTTGGCAAAAGCATTTCATCTAAAGTGATTGAAAATATGCTGGCACAATGATTGGGTCATCCCTACTTTTTTTTTTTTTTAAAGCAGGATCCTTGTTTTCTCAGATAACTGAAATCATGACTCATCAAATACTGTTTCAGGGTCCTAGTCTCTATTCCGTTTATTTACCAAAATGAAATTTTGTTATGGAGATAAAGGTTAGGATCATATTTTTCATTGGTAGTACTGCACACCATGAGTGTATATTAGCACCGTTTGTTTGCTTTTGGGATACGGAGAAGCATTTGGACCTGGAAACAGTGACAACCAGATGGTTTTACCAGTCATATTTACAAATCAAGGTGCACTATTTGTGAAATGATTAACCTGAAATCCCAATATTATTATCTGCAGGTGTATGTAGATATCCCAGGAGCCATGAACCTATCTTTAAACCTGCCCCTGGTGATTGGGACCATCCCCCTCCATCCTTTTGGAAGCCGTACATCTTCTGTGAGCAGTCAGTGCAGCATGACCATGAGCTGGTTAGGCATGGCCCTCCCTGAGAGGCCTGAAGGTAAGGAACTCTTCATGATACTGCCTGCTCATCCCCTAGGTTGTCAATTAAAGGAATAGTTCACTTAAAAAGGAAAATTCTGTCATCACTTACAAGTTGTATGAATTTCTTTCTTCTGCTGAACACAAAGGAAGATATTTTGAAGAATTTCGGTAACCAAACAGTTGAATGGGCCCCATAGATTTTCATAGAAAAAAAATACCATGGAAGTCAATGGGGTACATCAACTGTTTGGTTACTGACATTCTTCAAAATATCATCTTTTGTGTTCAGCAGAAGAAAGAGATTCATTCAGGTTTGAAACAACTTGAGAGTGAGTAAATGATGACAGAATTTTAATTTTTAAGCGAACTATTCCTTTAAAACCACTTGTTTTGAGGCATGTTTTCAATATAATAAGAGTCCAGATTTGGTATATATGGAGGTCATGTGATTTTGAATCTTGACTTACAGAGAAAGAACTTGTTGCACAGTGTTCTTTAAAATAAGACACCAAAGGAGGAAGTGGAGATAACATTGTACACAGAGAAGAAACAGATATCATGGTTGGCATAGCTACAGTATTAACATTTGTTTTTGCTGTACGCAGCTCCTCCAGCCTATGCAGAGGTGGTCTCAGAAGAACAGAGGCAAGGCTGTCTGGATGTGTCGTCAGGCCGGGAGAACTTTGAAGGGCCATTATTTGCCTACATCCAGGAGTTCCGCTTCCGACCCCCTCCACCCTACTCTGAGGTAAGCTTTTTGGGGTTTTTTGATGGGTAAAATGTTGATATTTTTATCAGGAGGAAGCCTTCAGCCATGTTTACATGCATTGGATTCACGGCAGCTGTTGTTCTGTTCCCCTCTCTATCAGATTGATCCACATCCAGATCAAGCCACATCGACCGCGGAGCAGAGACTCGACACCTGCCCATCACGTTGAGAAATGTATGGAATGAGTCCAAAGCGGTTGGGCTTTAGGAGCTTTCACTTTTGTTTATCTCCAGATGACAGCGATTGTTCGCTTCACTGTCACCACCGAGAGAAAACAAACCTCTATGGAGAAATCCGTTCGTAAGGGTGCAGGAAGTCACTGGCAAATTACCTGACCCAGAGATTGCCCCCGCAACCCCCCCGACCCGTGGATGGGACGCACTTCACCGGACTAAGCCTGGAGAGCTTTGTCAAAGTTGTCACTTTTCTCATGCTTTTCAGTAAAAGTTGACAAAAGAACATGCAGACCTTATTCGAGATCTGAAGAGAAAGGCAAGAAAACACTACGACCGCAGCCATTCGCAGTACAGCTGAGAGAAACTCGTCATTCTCTTGTCTCGGTTTTTGATTTCTGTTTGCACATGTTTGCTTTCCTCGATTTGAGGTTTAAAATCACTGATTGTTTTATTTCAGTTTTTTTGGACTAAGAGATTACAGGCTTATTACAGTTTCGCTTGAGCCGCACAAATTGCAAACAGCACAAAGAACAGATTCTGAGGAATAACAGACTGAATGGACTTACGTAATGCACTGATCTTGTTCAAGCTCTTTTGAGGTCTGTAGTTTTCATTGATTGTGTTTCCTCAGTCAATAATCTGCTCTTGGTAACATGCTGTCTGAAAGCTTTTGCAATGTTGCCTCGCCAACTCATAACCCAAGAATGGCTTTTGTTTAGTTTTTTCCTATTCAAATGGACTTCATTTTCGGTTCTAAATGTAGAACCTTTCAGCCAAACGTGGTTTGCTTGGTTTTAAATTTGTTGCACATGTTGTTTGGTAGAGGAGCAAAAGTCCAGGACTTGGTGTTCATGTGTGTGATCGGAGCAGAGAGATAAAACAGGGTGGGGCCTGGGCAGGATGCCTGAAAAGTTTGTGGCCTTTCTGTTCGTAGTGTGTAGCGGTGCAGGCTTCGAGATTGCACTGCCTGAAAAAAAGCACTCAGTCTCAGGTCATCTCACTTGCCAAATGAAAACAAAAACGGTGCAGATTATGTTTCAGTTGCACTGTTTCAGTTAAAGGAAGGAGACTACAGAAGGAAATTCAGATTCAATAAAGAGAGGAGATATGCACAAAGATGCAAGGCAGCTTTCAAAGACTTATGACATTCCCTTTTTGTCCTGCTGCACCGGCGGACTTACATTTGACGTAATGTTTCTTCAGACCAGTGAAGCCATGCATGACCCAGAGAATGGCACACATGCTTAAAAAGCCAAGTTGTAAAGCAAAACGAGGACTCTGGATCTTATTCAGAGACATCCGAATCTAGTTGAAATGAGTTGTACATTTGTTTTTAAAACTCATTCGACTACAAAAGCAGTTTAGGCTCTGTATCATGCTTGGCCCTCATTAAGCATTTCTTTTTTTTACTGAATTGAAACCACAAGTCTGCTCATGTCTGGTTGAGGTCTGGAGAAATTTTGGCATTCAACCATTTAGCTATGTAAATAAGTGTTTGGATTTATAGAATTAGTCATTATTTGTGCACACAGTGTGTGTTATAGGTTCATCTCTAATGTGGTGGTGGTGGTTATGATTCAGCAGTTTTTGGAGCAGAGTGATCTTAACATAGTGGCCTTGATGAAGTACTGATCTTAACATCCTATTTGTTATCCGTTTAGTCCTACAGATTGGGGTTTAGTTTAAAAGGACAAAAAGGGAAAACCAAAAAGTCCTTCAAAGCGAGCCACTTGCCACTTTTGATTTGAATGGGTTTCGGTTTTCAGTTATTCAGTTTTGATGAATACTTATGGGCATTCAGTGTTCGTTTTTCAAACAAACGAACTAATATAGATCCTCTCAATTAATATGGGAACAATAGCTGTAGCACACCTTAGAGAAATGGGTCATCCAAAAACCCAAGAGATGATTATGAGAAGAAAATGATTTGCTTCTCTGTTGTTTTATAGTTTAAAATCGAACCAAAATTGGCTACTAATGAAAGAATAAGCTTAAGCACAAAAAGAAAAGTGCTTCTTTTTGTGGTCGGTCAATAATATAGTCTAATGCTTGGCCTTCCGTGTAGTCCAGTGTTAAAGCTAAACTCTTGACTCTGTCAGGAAACACCTTTAATGGAAATATGGTATGTTTTAGAAATTAAGTGCAATATTTCTTGAGTTTATTTTGACTCAGTGGTATATTTTGTCTTATTTCAATGTGATTTCCTTTCGGAGATCATTATGAACATTTGATAATGATCGAAATGTATGTCCGTATTGGTTTTAACTTTTGTCTTAGTTCTTCCTTGGAAATAAATAAAATAAAAAATCCCTGTTGTACTTCTGCTTTATTTTTAACAAAACAGCACTAAAATGATTTAATTTTCACTATTTAATATGTTGATATTGGTGCATAAAAGCAAACAGGCTACTGCTCAGAATTTAAAACATCAGCAAGACCTCTTGTATGAAATATGGACAGTGGACACGTTGTGTCTTTAAAAAAAAAAAAAAATTTAAACCAATTCAGCGGAAACTCCACCCTGCAGCCGATTCTAAAGATTTCATTGGTTGCCTACACCAAACTCCACTCTCTAACCCTACCCTTTACCCTAACTTAAACAAATTTTTTAATATTTTGTAATAATTTTGTGCTCATAAGAATCCTTTTCTTTTTTCACATTTACTCCTTTGCATTGCTGTTGCTTTAAGTTGATCATTTCAAGATAAGGTTGAACCTTCTTTAAGGTGTTGGACTCCAAGACGCCAGCTTGGTTTATAGGGGATAACCTTCTGACCTCAGCTTATCGGATGGCACTAGGGTCAAAAAGTGACTTTGGGGTCAAGTGAGTTCACAAACTTTGGCCAGCAGGGTTGGTTGAAAATACTAACACATAAACAAGGCTTATCTTAGAACTGGCCAAAACATGGGAACTTGTCATGCCCAATTCTAAGCTATGGCTGTAATTTTAGCCTAATCTTAGCCACATAATGAACTCTGTTCTTTACCATATGTTCTTCTTATAAGATTTGTATTTATCATTAAAATGCCTTCCTACCCACTTATGGCTCATAAAAGGTTTATTTAAAAATAAATATGTATTATATTCAGATATATGCTTATTTTTTTAATGGATATTTGGATTGTCTGAGGTGAAGTGTGAGGTTACATATTCATTTTGACCACAAACTGAATATTGATTTGCAACTCAGTTGTAATATATTTAGAAAATCTATTGTAGTTGCATCATTCATGGGTTATGTTTATTGACTGGGTTTTAGGATGTAGACTCGCACGCACAGGATAGAGCAGGAGTCAGGAACATAAAGAAACATTCTCTTTTCTCCTCTCTCTGGGTGTCTCTTTAACTGCATTTATCAAAAGACATTTTTTTTAACCCTTGTATGCACAACATGGGTCTAAATAGACCTGACTGAGTTTTCTATTTTTATATCTTTGCAAGAAATTAGTTTTCATCATTCAGTATTCCAGGTATTCCTCAATTAACTTGTTTTAGATCATTACAAATCCTTATTTAAATTTTTCCTTTCTTACTTTTCGAATAAAAATCTTTTTTGTGTCACTGCCCTTCTAATGCGCAACATGGGTCTAAAATGACCCGTATTCATGTTTCTTTGCTGAATATTTGAAAGAAATGTATTTTAGCATTTATTAATCCAGGTATTCATTAAATATCTTGTTTTTGATTTCCACAAATCATTATGTTTATTTTTCCTTTCTTACTTTATAAACAAACACGTTTTTTGTATTTCTACATCAATTTTACACACATGGGTCAAAAAATGACCCATATAGGAACCTTTGATATTTATAAATATATTTACTTGCAGTGCTGCAAGCTTCCTTGTTTGCTGCTTTTGTGCTTGGCCCGATAATTGCTGCTTGCAGCTATATTTCAGCTTTGCCATTACAGGAATAAATTACAGAAAGCATTTATTTTAAATTGTAATAATATTTTACAATATTACTGCTTTAACTGTATTTTTGATCAAATAAATGCAGCCTTGGTGAGCATAAGAGACTTCATTCAAAAACATTTAAAAGATTTTTGCTGACCCCAATCTTTTGAACAGTATCAAGCTGAACTGTATGTATATCATTCTGAAAGATGCACAATCTTATTTTTCAAACGTATAGTTGCTGTTTTGCCAACTGAAAATGTGGACAAAATAGCATGCGGCAATGAAATGTGAAAGGACTTGGTTGATCCTCACACAGCTAAGCGGGTTGCAGCTAGCGGGTGTGTTACATAAGTCTACAACAGTATTGTCATCTTTACAGGCAGTTGAGTGCTGCTATAGGATCTCATGAGTCAGCTTTGACCCAGCACTTTATTCTCTCCTGCTAGGCCTCTGCTCTACTGACTCTTGCAGGTCAGGCCCTTTGTACGGTGCTGACCCCAGGCCCCAACAAAAAAGAGAGGAGGGATTACTAGCAATGGCAGCTGCTGATTTAGTCAATGCTGATGCTACACAGATCTGAGCCTTTTCTGAAAACTACTAAATCCTACTGCCGTACCTCCTTGCCAGGAGCCTCACGCTCAAAGCGGAATGTCCAGATGAAGCTTCTAGAAGGATATGATCATGTGTCCATAACTTTAATATCTTGTTTTTTGGTGTTTAATATCTTGTAGTTATGTATACACAGTGTATAACAATGCAAATCATAATGCACTGCATGATGTATAAGAGATTTAGTCTGTTATTTAAACTGTTATGACACAAGTTTGTGAGAAATTGCTGGGGGAAAAAAGCTCCTGACGCAATTTCCTTGTATCTACTGTTTATCGTTCATTGTATCTCGTTTCAATCTCTGTCAGCTTCTGTTTTGCTTCGCCAGTGGCATCCCTTCTGTACCTTTTAAAAGAGCAGGTTTTTCAGAATGATCAGTGCTTCAGAGATGATTGAACGTCTTCACATTGTTCCCATCAAGAGCATGAAGAAGAGGACATTGACCTGGAGAAAATAAAACAGGAGAAAACAGCATAAACAAGCTTGACAGAGTTTTACTCTTACTTTGTCTATCAAAATGTATTGTACATTTGTATATAGTAAACAGTAATACAAGTGACACTTTCCACAAATGGTTCAAAACAAGTCACAAAACTCTTATAAAATAAGTCTTTTTTCAACAAAGGGTCAGTGAAAGGTGCTTAACCTTTAGATAACCTTAGGAGGTCAAAATTATGTTATTTGCTCTCGCAAAAAAAAATATTAAAAGAACATACAAATTAAACAGATAAACATAAAAAAGTGAAACATTTGGCACACAGATAAACATGACATTTATTGGTAATTAAAACAAAAGTCAACACAAAATTTTCACAAATTTTTTTTTTTTATATACATCTATTTTCATGTGAATGTAAAGATTTTTAAATAGTTGAAATAGTTGGAAACAGTTGTGGGACAGGTTTAAATCACCTCTGTAATTTGGGGGGTGGGGGGCACTGACGGTAAGAGTAAAAGTGGCAAGTACAGTAGAAGATGGGATCTTTAATCAGAAGGCCAATAGCGAGAGATTGTGCAAGGGGTTTTGCGATTCTACATTTAGAGCACCATTTCACCTAAAGTGGAACATGACTTTTTAACCCTCATGTGGTGTTCAAAACCCTATAACACCTGTGGTGTTCCCGGTCAAAAATGACCGGGCCATAAAAAAAACCTTATAAATCACTCATAATACCATATTTTCACCCAATCTTGGATTCAATCTTTTTGTCAACATGTTCTCTTTCAATTAGGACTGGTTTTATATTTTGATTTGCATCTGAATAATCATAGGCCTCATTTATTTGAGAGTAGGCATTTCATTTTTTGAGTAATTTTTTGTAAAAATTTGAATAATTTTGGAAATATTAAATAAAATCTGGAGAAAATTGGTATTGTTGAACATACTAGTCAACTTAACATTTTCACCAGGAATTTTGTTTTGATACTATTGTTTTGTAAAAAATATGGCACATAGTCACACTTGTGGTGTTCCCGGTCAAAAATGACCGGCCTATAAAAAATAGCTTA